GGGGATCACATCTCCCCATCTCTCCCTATCTCCCCCCATCTCCCCCCCATCTCCCCCCATCTCCCCCATATCTCCCCACATCTCTACCTATCTCCCCATATCTCCCCACACCTCCCCACACCTCCCCACACCTCCCCACACCTCCCCACACCTCCCCACGCCTCCCCACACCTCCCCACACCTCCCCACACCTCCCCACGCCTCCCCACACCTCCCCACACCTCCCCACACCTCCCCCCACATCTCCCCACAGGCGGGCTACATCGCCCTCGCCGACTGCCTGTGGGGCGACGAGGCTCTCGGGCTCGCCGCTCTAGAAGCGGAAGAAGACGCATCCGTGTAGTCGAACCAATGTGCATGTGCATGTGTGACTCGCCTAGTGTGGAGACGCCGTGCACACCGTGGGGCCTCCTTGTCCTAGCACGGGGGTACCCGTGTGGACCGGAGGTACCAGCAGCAGCAGCAGCAGCGGCGGCAGCAGCAGCAGCCGCAGCAGCAGCAGCAGCAGCAGCAGCGGCGGCGGCGGCGGCGGCAGCAGCAGCAGCAGCAGCGGCAGCAGCAGCAGCAGCAGCAGCAGCAGCAGCAGCAGCAGCAGCAGCAGCAGCAGCGGCGGCAGCAGCAGCAGCAGCAGCAGCAGCAGCAGCAGCAGCAGCAGCAGCAGCAGCAGCAGCAGCAGCAGCAGCCGCAGCAGCAGCCACTCCGGGACCGTGGGACATCTCCCGGCCATCGGGGGTGCTTGGTCCACTCCGCCAGTCCCCCATTCACACTCAACTGAGACGCACGGAGGGCTGGGCGGGCCCCTGGTAGGCCGTATCCGGCTGTGCCCACTGTCCTCGGTGTACCCACGCGGTGCTCTAAGACTCTGCACCAGACCGTATCGGGCCCGCCCCGAGGATGGCGTTCCCCCATTCACACTCAACTGAGACACACGGACGCACGGAGGGCTGGGCGGGCCCCTGGTAGGCTCGAGGCGCCGGCCGACGTGGACGGCGTGCCCCTCCACATCGTCAAGAAAACCAACGCCACCTTTGGCCACTACGGCGAGATGTCCGGCACGCGCACCTGGGGCATGGCGCGCGACCGCGTGCAACGCCGCCCGCGCGACGCGGAAGCCGCCGCTCGCAGCATCCCCTACCCCCACGGTACCCCCACCCACCCCATACCCCCACAGTACCCAAACCCAGAAGCCGCCGCGCGCAGCGCCGAGCGTCTGCCGGCCGTCGCGTGAACTCGAGCCTGAGACGCGCGCGACGCGGGCGGCTCTTGAAGGCATGACGACCGGTCGGCGGATCTGGCAGCGGCTCTACGGCCCGCGGCCGCTGCGCAGTCCCTCCCAGAGGGCGCCGCACCCACGCCGGTCCCTCCGCGAGTTGCCCTCCGCCGCGCGACGCGGTAGTCCGTAGAGCGTAGTCTAGCCCGTAGTCGTTTTCGATCGTTCAGCTTTCGCACGTTTGGCCTGATGAAACGGTAATTTTGCCAGCGCGGCGAGTGTTGGCGTACGGCTCTATGGCCGTGTGGGTTCCTTGTACAGTCGGACCGGTAGCAAATCGCACAGCGAGCTCATCCACGTCGCGCCTTCTCTTCCCTCTTGCAAATGCCGAAATGGTCACCGCGGCCACCGGGCGGATGTGGCGCGCGGCACCGCGCGATCAATACAAGCTGCCGCGCTAGCACTTGAGGCGCGGGCACTCCCACTCCATTCACACGCACCTCACGCACTGCAGTCAACACGAGTCACTCACACGTCATGAACACACTCCTCTCCACACCGCGCGCCAGTTCACCCGACGGCCCGTTCACCCTTAGCTGGAGACGCCGTCCGTCGCCAGAATCGCCGAGTGTGTGCGCCGCCTGGCGCGCGCCTCTCTCACAGCCCGGCCGCCCTGGAGCAGCAGCTACTCTGCACCGCATATGCACATATGTCCGCCCGTGCTACCTGAGCGACGCGAGGATGGGCTGGCAGGTAAGTGACAGCATGACTGGTATGAGCCAGAAGAGAAGTCGTGAGCAAAAGTCGCTCCCCCGTGATTTGCCGCCAACCGCGGCCACGACCAGGTCCGCGCCAGGAGATCGGACGCTGTCGGTCCACAGGCCAAAGCGTGCCGAGCTACGCCGCCTGCGAGCCATGCCGGCCTGAGCCTCGCGGCCGGGGGCCCCGGGGCAGTGTTTGAGCTGGCGCCTTTTCACGCGCGCGCCAAAAAGAATCTTACACCAAAAAGAATTCAAACCTCGCTGTGGTGGCGGGCCGGAAGCTCACGTGGTGGCAGTACGACCAGACGTCGTGGTCGGCGCGCGAATGGATGCCGTTTGCGCTGCAGCGACTGTCGGTGCAGCTCTGGACGGCGCTCGCGGACGAGGCACAGCGCGCCATTGGTGCGGCGTCGCGCGGCCGCGAGGGACCGCGGGGGGGGGTAAGCGGGATGGGGGGCTCTAAGGGGAAGGGAGTGGGGGGCGCCCAGTAGGGCGCCGGCACCCCAGCGTAGAGGGCCTTGTGTAGCCCTCCTTTTGGTATATATAAAAGAAGTGTATCGCGCGCCTTGCGGGGGGGGCGCGGAAAAGAGGAACCTCTTATCGCGGCCGCCTTCAACGAGGCGGTCAAGGACGGCCGCGTCTCGGCGCCGATCGTCGCGTCGCGCGACCACCACGACGTGTCGGGGACGGACTCGCCGTACCGGGAGACATCGGACGTGTACGACGGCTCCGCCTTCACGGCCGACATGGCGGTGCAGAACGCGCTCGGCGACGCGGCGCGCGGCGCCACGTGGGTGGCGCTGCACAACGGCGGCGGCGTCGGGTGGGGCGAGGTGATCAACGGCGGCTTCGGGCTCGTGCTCGACGGCACGGCGGACGCGGGGCGGCGCGCCGAGTCGATGCTGTCGTGGGACGTGTCCAACGGCCTCGCGCGCCGCTCGTGGGCGGGCAACGCCAACGCGCAGCTCACCATCCGGGAGGAGATGCAGCGGCAGGACGGAGATGGGGTACAACCCGCTGGTGGCGTGCTTCGTCGACGGCAAGGAGCGGCCGTCCAGCTTCCCCGCCCGGTCCATCACCGCCGATTCGGACGAGCGGCTGCTGAGCATGCTGCTCCGCTGGACGGGTAGCCTCGCGCCGAAGCTCCACGCCTCGCTCTCGGCGGCGTTCACCACCCTCCTCAAGTGAGCAGGGAGGCGGGCCCTCCGCGCAGCCTCGTGGAGCCTTCGAGACACCTAGAACAGTGCTTTGCCTGACCAAGCGGAGCGAACCCGCGTGCAACGTGCGATGTGCGAGCAGATGCAGCAACCTTCGATGTCGTCGGCGCCGCGATGCTCATCTTTCACCCTTTCCCTGCGGGACCCCAGTGGGGACCTCGGCCCGCTGCGCCGCTCAAACAGGGACTACGTTTAGCCTAGATCTTTGCGGGACCCCAGTGGGGACCTCGGCCTCGCAGGCCGCTCAAACAGGGATTACGTTAGCCTGAGTAGACTCTGAGTAGACAGCGCGCCGCGAGCGCGCTGCCGAGAAGGAAGGCGGCCCCAGTCGCCTACGCGGATTTTGTGTAGTCCTGTCAGAAAGGACGCGTAAGAAACGCGGTGCCAACGGACGAGCCGGATACATTCGGACGCTGTGCGCCGCGCAAAAAAGCGGGCCGAAAGCGCGGGCCGTCACCACGACACAGCCGGGAGCGGCTGGCCTCAGCCCTTACCGAGGGGACCCCTAGGCTTAAAAGGGTGGGCCCTGGGGCGCCTGCGGCTTAAACGGCTTAAAACTTGCCATGGCAAGTTTTAAGAGCTGCTGGGCCGCCAATTCCTCGTTAAACGGTCTTAATACTTAAAGTCTTAACTCTGGGGGGAGGCGGGGGCCCCCGGAGGCACCGTGCGCCGCGCCGCAGTGCGGAAACGGGGCCCCGGCTCTACTAGTCTCTACTAGCACCGACTTCCCGATTAAGTACGGTTAAGTAGAGGGCAGATTTGGAGAGATCTCGAGGAGTACATACAGATAGACCCTCCAACCATCAGAAAACTCCGACCTGATCGGTCGTACTGACCGCCGACAGATCACTCCAGACAGCAGACAGGCCGACGTCTGCACGTGGCCGGCCGGGCGAGAGGCTTGACACGATCCGACCCTGCGACCCTGACGCTGCTGCTCTAGCTATCAGACAACTGCTGACTGCTGCCACAATGTGTGACCGGTGCTGGCCCACTTGGCGGCCTTCCCGGTCAGTGGTGAGGCGCAGTTCAGAGCTGTCGATGGCGCGATGCCGCACTGGTCCCACATTGGTGACACGAGACCACCACGTTTGCCGGTCCAAGAGAGAGGCACTGGCGCTGTCCTGAGAAAGTGCATGGTCCCTCTTGACTGCCCATGCGCGCGAGGCTGTGTAGGCATAGCCTCGAGAGTGCCAGCAGCCAGTCGCCGAGGCAGTCTGTGACGCGCATTGCGTCAGAAGCGTGCACACGATAGAAGGACACCTTCCTACTGACCGTAGGATCAGGTCGTCACTGAATGCTTGATACTAAGGCCGCGAGCTATGCAGGTGGTCAATTGTGCAGCATGGCACGGTCAGCAGCGCCGACAGGCTGTCGCAAGGCGTGATAGCATGGCCGCAAGTATTGCAATACAGCGAATTCCCATGAAACAAGTAAAAAATCGCGCAAAAAAGAAAAATAGTCCCGAAAAAATCGGCGCCTGCGGCGGGCCATGCCCATGGGACCCCATCTCCCCCCCGCATGGATACCCTCCAGGGCCCCCGCCTCCCCCCAGAGAGTCTTAAACGCTTAAACGCGGTGCGGGAGAGCTCCCGAGGTCGATGGTCCAGAGGCTCCCGCCGCGGTAGATACACACGCCGGAGGCCGGGGGAAGCTGGCTACAGTCAGCTAGCGCACGCGGCGCGTCCCCTATGCGAGTACGGCTCCTGCCAGTGCACCAGACTTACAGATGTGTCTTCAGAGGCGGGTTTGTGCCTAATAACGGCAGTATTGGAGAAAACGGCGCGGAACCCAGCGACGCGTGCCGGCGAGGCCCCGATTTTCTTAAACCGCTTATAGTGGTGAGGTGGGGAAGGTGGGGGAGGTGGGGGAGGTGGGGGAGGTGGCAGGTGGGGGAGGTGGTGGAGGTGGTGGAGGTGGTGGAGGAGGTGGCGCCTTCCGGCCACCCGCCGCGTCGAAGAGGCCGGCGTCGGCGCGCGCGATCAGGGCGAGCAGGGCGAGCGCGGCGTGGCCGTGATCGCCGAGGCGCGGTGCCGTGTGGGCGGTGCTGGCTGCGGGGAGCCGGTCGCGGGAAGCTCCTGCGGCTCTCCGCGCCTGCTGGAAGCGATCGAGGAGCATCGGAACCGAGTCGGGGAAGACGGCGATCGAGTGGTCGACTCCCATTGAGTCGTGGACGACTGCTGAGGCGCCATCGGCCGCGAGGCGCACGCTCTCCACGCTGTTTAGTCCGCCGCCGAAGAAACTGCTCATGCGGTGCGACGTGACCGCGGTTTCATATTCTTTTGAGCTTAGCCTTCGATGTTATGAAACAAACGCAAGGCGGACATGGCATATCGCTCTCGGGCCCACAGACATCCCGCACACCCGCCGCCCCCGCGCGCGCCCCACCCCGGCCGGGAGAAAGGGGAGTGACAGTTTGGGATTGAAAGCCGAGTATCTCGCACTCCATGTGCGAGAACGCAGGGTAAATGTAAGCCGGATGGCTCACATAAACGCACAACCCCGGGCCCGAAATCGCACAGAGTCACGCAACACGGGATCCCAGGGAAGGCGAGCAAAAACCTTATCGCGCGCGCTATAGACGCCGACTCGGAGGCCGCACCGGTCAGGCGCGCAGCCGGAGAGAGAGGATGGCTCACAGGCCACCTCTTGCGCCCCGAGGACACTTCAAAGTAAACCAAAGGTGGAAGGGCACCTCAGAGGTACCTAAGAGTGACCGGACGGCGCCTCGTCACCAACGCGGTATTGATTGATTGATGGGAAGGCGAAACACAGTCCGACCAACGCGGTATTGGTGAGTAGGACCACACCTCCAGAGATTACGGAGATCCCGCCGTTGCAACTGCCATGTCACGGCCGGTCGGCTGCAGCTCTCGCCTCGCTGGCGGCGCGGTCTGGTGCCGCGGCGCCCAGCTCTCCTGTGGGCTCGCGGCGGCTCGCCGCCGCGGTGCCGAACAATGTGATCAGTCTGGATTCGTCCCGGCGTGCCGCCGGTGCCGCTTCCTCGCCAATTTTTGGCTCGACCAGTTTGTCGACAAAACTGTGCCAGAGCCCCTGCTGCTCGACTGAGCGGCGGAGCCGGCCCGTCGCGGCCGAGAGGCGGTGCGCCGACACCGGGGCTACGGCTCGGGACCGTTTCCAGGCTCTCTCGAGCAACCTCAAATTTTGATGATTTCATGACCGCCACTTTGCTGCACACTTTGACCTCAACCTCGCGGCCCGCTGCGCGGCTCTCCGAGCGCGAGAGGAGTCGTCTACGAGGCGGCGGCGAGCGCAGGCGGCGGCGGCGCGGCGGCGCGGCGGCGGATCGCGGCGCAGACAACGGCAGGAATCTGCGGCAGGCTGCTGTCTGCTGCTACAGCAGCTGCTGCTGCTGCTGCTGCTCCGCCGCTGCCGATTGTGGACACGATTCCCCCGATCACCCCGCCCGCCCGCTCCGCCCCGCCCGCCCGCCTCTCCCCGCTTGCCCGCCCGCCCGCCCGCCCGCCCGCCCGCCCGCCCGCCCGCCCGCCCGACCACCCATTCCCATCACCATCTCACATACCTTCATATAGGCGCTCGAGACCTCCTCTCGCGGCCTACTCGCTGCCTCGAGGGAGGAGGGGAAGATGTCGAGCTGAGCTAGCCTCGCCTTCCAACTGAGGCCCCTCCCCGAAAGGCAAGTTTTAGCCACATGAAACCGAGACCCCTCCCCACCACCCCAATCCCCCCACCCCCTTGCTCCCCTCCCCCCCTCGGGAGGGCCGAACTGAGGCGCCCGAGGGGACCCCGCAATTCCCTTCCCCCCTCGGAGGGCCGGACTGAGGCGTCGAGGGCCCCACTCTTTCCTTCGCATAGCGGCCACTCTTCGGATCGCTGGTCGAGCGACCCGGGGGATGCCCCGCGCGCCTGACCCAGGCGCGGAAACGAATCTGCGAGGCGTGGCCGCTCATGCGGCCCGATGGGGAGGAGGGGAAGACGTAGGGCGTGCTTGCGCGCCTTTCCGAGGCCCCTCCAACCCACCCGCGCTAGGTCTCGGGTTTGACGCATGGGGTCACACCCGCGAAACCCGTGAACTAGCCGGGGCAGTCGGAGAAGGGGCAACTCCGTGCACTGACGGTCGGCCGTCAGAAAACACGCCTCCGTGGCTCGGGTTACACCAATCCTCGCTACCCAACGCGGCCAAAGGATATCCACCTCGAGAACGTCGAGAACCACACCTCCGCAGTATCGAATCCAGAGTTCTTCGGTGTTGAGTGCTGGCACCGGTTCCCGGACCCGGACAAGCTTCAGCAAGGCCGCCTGCACCTATGTCCCCCGCAGCCTTAGGCTCAAAATATTTGGTGCTCACGTTCGCGTGGTTCTTGCTTCTGCTCGCCTCCTCTGCCGTTTGCGCCACCCCACTACACGCGGCTGCTCAGCGAGACGACGCCGCTGCCTTGAAGAGGCTGCTCGCGGAAAGCGAAGACGTGGACGTGCTCGACGCACGAGGCTTGAGTCCGCTGCACATCGCCGCCGTGAAAGGGCGCGCAGCAGCTGCGCGACTGCTGCTACAGCACCACGCCTCGGCGACGCGAGCAGACGCCCAGGGCATGGCGCCGCTGCATCTGGCTGCGCTCGGCGGCAGCGCAGAGGTGACTCGCTTGCTGCTGCAGCACGGTGCTTTGCTTGACGCAGTTGAGCCCACGCACGAGAGCACGGCGCTCCACATCTCAGCTGCACGGCCACGCCGTGACTGCGACGTTGCTGGCGTCCTGCTCGAAGGCGGCGCATCGCTCGATCTCAAGGACGGCGAGGGCCGCACGCCCTACCGCATCGCAATGGACGTGGAGAATGCACCGTGCATAGAGCTCTTCCGAGGCTGGCGGTCGAGACCCTCCCATCAGGACCTCGCTGATGTGTGCCCAGCCTGGCAAGGGCAAGTGTTCCAAAACTCATACGCGCACAGTCGTCCGGCGCACGTCTACAGTGCCACAGGACTATTCACTCCGG